GGCTGCGGTGGCCGGGAGCGGCCACTGCACTCGTCTGGGCGACAGAGTGAGACTCCAACTAAAAAAAAAAAAAGACAGCATTTCTCCAGGAAATGGCCAAGCCCAAGAGCCTGTCCATGGGCCCCTTCCTCCTATCATCTCCTTTCCCGGTCCTTAGAGTCCATGGGGAGGAGGTCCACCTCACTCCCTTCTCAAGGCTGCCATTCCACACACCCTCACTCAGGTAGGGTAATAAAGAGGTGGGGAGTGAGGTCCTGGCTGTCTCCAGAAGAGGAACAGTCACTTACCCAAAGGCTCCCCCAACCCAACTGCCATGTAGTGAGGTTGAAGATATGTGCCCTGGAAGAGGAAAAAAGGAAGCTCCCCAGCACTTGACGTGTGCATATGTATATCTGCATATATGTACATGGCATTCTGTATGTATATGTCAACACACATGACCTTATGCATTTTTAGAAATTTAATAAGGCTGGTGAGGTGGCTCACATCTGTAATCCTAGACTGCTTGAGCTCTGGAGTTTGAGACCAGCCTAGGCCACACAGCAAGACCTCATCTCTACAACAACAAAAAAAAAACAATAAAAACATTAGCCAGGCATGGTAGCACATGCCTATAGTCATAACTACTAAGGAGGCTGAGGCAAAGGATCGCCTAAGCCCAGGCAGTCGAGGCTGCAGTGAGCTGTGATAGTGCCTGTAGCCTGGGTGACAGAGTACGACCGCCACTAAAAAAAATAATAAAATTTAACAAACATTTTTTAACACTTGTAATGCTTATGAGCCAGGCCATGTTCTGTATGCTTTTTAAGTAGAGTATTAACTCACTTAACCTTCATAACAACTCTATGAAAGATTGTTATTACTCCCATTACTCAGATTAAGAAACTGAGGCACAAGATGGGAACAGTGGAGCATGCCTATAATCCCAGCTACTCAGAAGGCTGATGTGGGAGGACTGCTTGGCCAAGAAGTTCCAGTCCAGGCTGGGAAACAAGATCCCATCTCTTAAAAGTAAAAAAATAATAATAATAAAATATAGGTTAAAATCTGCTACTTGCGATGGATGGATAGACCCTGTGAGATAGTACTTTGTCCAAAGGACCAGAGTCATCCTTGTTTGAAGGTCAGATCTGAACCCCAGGGAACCCCAGGTCACCAGGGATCCTGCCAGCATTCCCATGGATGGGCAGAGACCCTGGAGTAGCTATAATGGGCTGCCCTTCCTGCTCCTGTTTCCCAAGGGATGCCCGCACTCACAGCTTCAATCTTGCAAGGCCGGCAGCTGCCTAACCCTGGAGGGGAGGGTGACCTCTCCTGCAAATGGTTTCCTCCCCGCCTTTCCTCAGGCGTGCCAATCCAGTTCAGCAAGAGTATGAGAAACTGCTGGTGCCTGACCCAGGACCACCAAGGAGGAGGCACCTGGAGTACTTCTTGTCTCAAGCACCTGGGTAACAGCAAGAGCTCCTTAGAGCATCTGGCTAAACTTACAGAAACTGACAAGAAATCTCATTTTGGATAATTCCACTGAAGTTACACTGCAAAAGGATCCGAGATCTATATCTGAACTATTCTGGCATTTGTTGAAAACAGAATGTGGCCAGAGATCTGCTAGAGGAATACATTTCTTTTTCTTTTTTTTTTTTCTTTTTTTTGAGTTGGAGTCTTACTCTGTTGCCCAGGCTGGAGTGCAGTAGTACACTCACAGCCACCGCAGCCTCGACCTGCTGGCTCAGGCGATCCTTCTGTATCAGCCTTGCAAGTAGTTGGAACTAAAGGCATCCGCCACCACACCTGGCTAATTTTTTGATTTATTGTAGAGATGAGGTCTCACCAAGTTGCCCAGGCTAGTCTCGAACCTGTGGGCTCAGGAAATCCTCTCACCTCGGCCTCCCAAAGTACAGGGATTATAGGTGTGAGCCACCTCGCCTGGCCAGGGGAATACATTTCTATTTTGAAATGGCACTAGGTACTACACAGGGAGTACCTATGAGGTGTCAACCATTGCAACAATATCCTTTATTATGTGTGGGTTTTTAAAATTATTTCCTGAATCTCTCCAAACACAGGCAAAAATAAGTGTGCCACTTAACATATTGGAACTTGCAAACTTGATAATTGCCTAGAGAAGGGAAAGTTATCTCCAAAAAAGGTTTAACCAGGAAGCCAATGCATCTGATGACCTCCAAGGACAGGGAGATGAACACAATAAACAGACTGTCCCCCATCAGAACTTTCATTCACCACCATTTGATAACCATTATTCAGGCCCAGATCAGCAGCACATCTCTTGCCAACAACCATTAAATGTCCAAGAAGATTTTCATCAACATTTTCTGCTGCAGAAATTTGGGGTATGTGTTTCTTGGATATCACCAGAAAACAAGTTGTTGCTTGAGGGGAAATGTCATGGAAAGCAAGACACCGGTCATCCTCAAAAATGATTTTGGCTGGATTTCCTGGCGGATGATCTTCTCGAAGATCTTGTCACCACCAGGCCGGGCGACCTGAGCCTTGGAGATCTCGTCTGCCATCTCGGCCTCCCTCCTGCGCGGCAGCCAGGGGAGAGACTCGGGAGGAGGGAGGAACCCTGGGAGCACACCAGTCATTGCTTTAGATACATCATCTCTTCCAAGTCTCAAAAAGGTCTCCATGTGTTATTATTCCCATTTTTCAGATAAGAAAATGAGGTTCAGATGGGGAAATGTCTGCTTCCATCAGGGAGGCGCGTGTACTTTTGGGGCACACCCACCCCATCCCACCCCTCATCCATGACACCCCTCGGACCAGGTGAAGAGAAACCACCTGAGGTTACAAAGATAGGGTCATTTATTCACGTTATATTACGGATTTTAAAGGCAAAAATACAGTTCTGTCTGTTTTGAACATTAAGGTCAGACACTGCCCCCTCCCTCCCCCCAGCAATGGTAAATATACACATTTGCATAGGGGATGTCAAAACACATAGCACAACAGGTTTCTACACATGAAAGCTGTCGTCCTGGCTGTTTGGGACTCCCCATGCCCAGCCTGGCAGGCAGCAGAGACCCCTTCCAGGCTGAGGGCCAGCACACCATTTCCTTTACCCTTCTGTGCCACTTCTGCCCTCTAATCTTTCCCAAAGGCCACTTCACACAGGGTCACCAGCAATGGGATGAACAGAAACAGAAAAGCACAGCAAATGACAACTTCATGGTCGCAACTCCCAGGAGAAGGAAATGCTTTCTGAACCCTCAGCCCTGAATCCCCAGTAAAGAAACAGGACCCAAAGTATCTCATGAACCAGGCCGATGTCTAGGCTTGCCTGTGCCCTGGTTACACCCTGGGCCTAGGTGGGCCCCATGAGAGCACCAGGACAGCAAATGGGGGAACAGCCAAAGCAGTACTTCCCTTGGTTCTGAGAGCGAACCACATATTGACAAGAACAGAAATATGACCAAAAAAAGAAAGACAGAATATAGAATTTTAAGAGTAAAGTAACAAAGAAATTACCACTCAGGGCATTTGTCTCCTTTCTTTTAAGGCACTTTGGAAAAGACAGAACCTGGGGACAGAAAGAGAGGCCTTCATTCTTTGTATTTCCCAAAAGCCCCTCTCAGTGCAGTCATTCCAAGTTTTAATATCCTCATTATGGGCGGGGAACTGACAGAGGAATACTTCTTGCATAGCCCAGGTGCTGCTGCAGTGGAAAATAATTTTTAACCAATACAAAGGCTTCTGGAAAAAAGAATCAAGTTAGCATCTCAGATGCTCAAAGCATTAAAGGCACAGATCAGATTGGGGCCAGGCACCAGCTCAGCCTCCAGGTGCCCAGGAGGGCAGTGGTTGGATTCGCCCTGAGCAGAGGGCTCAACCCTGGGATTAGGCAGCTGAATCTGAGGACTTCAACCCAGGCCGGGCCTGGCAAAGGCGCTCAGTGGTAGGAAGTGCCTCGTGCCATCTCACCCCAGGCAGCTAATCATCTCCCAGCAGGGGTGGGTTTGGGCAAGACACCCCTGAAGGTTAGCCTCACTGGGGTGGGAGCACCTGCTGAAAACCTGAGGTGGAAGGGGTAGCTTTAGGCACCAGGTTCTTGGAAGGGAGTCAGGGTGTGGGTTGGGCTGACTGTTCTAGATTGCTAATCAAAAGGCACATTCACGCTGGAGAATGAAGTGTTGACCCTGAGAGCCACAGTCAAGTTTTAGGGAACAGGCAAGAGGCAAAGGAACAAAAAGGGAGAGGAAGGAAGGAGAAAGGCAGGGCAAGAGAGAGAGGAGGACTGGTCATACAGAATGGGCCAGGGAGTGTGGCTGGCAGAGCCTTCGAGGGAGGTGGCCCCCACCAGAACAGAGGTTCCTTCCACCTGGGGAGGTACAAAGGGATGGTAAACAACCTGATTGCTGTTATTTACAACCCCACAGCGAGGGCCCTGAGGGGTCAGTCAAAGGAGGTTGAGGTTCCCTCTGCCCTGCCCCCTGAGGAGTTCTGCACAGCAGGTAGGCAGAGGCTTCTATCCTCCCAGGGCCTCCGCCCTAATCTGGCAGGATAATGTTGACCAGGAGGACTTGCCCGTCAAGGGACCAGGTGATTTTGCTCCTCATAAAACCTGGCCTGCCAGCTAAATCATAGGCCCATTTGTGGCCACTACAGCATACATTGTTTTTCTCTAAAAAAAAGCTCAATCCCCTCCTCACATTTAAAACACCACAATAAAAATACATAGGAAATTCAAGTTTACATAGCATGCCCAGAAAAATAAATTGTCATGACTTAACACTAAACAGCTATGCAAATTTGGATCAACACAAAAATCAAGCTAGACCATAATTAGAACTTGATTGTTTTCTTTAAAAATACTACAAACTGCTATAAAAAAAAAATCTTTACATTCAGAAATCAGACAATCTGAAGACAGGTCACTGAATGTGAGAACACACAAAGGCTTTTGCTCTCATGGCTAACGTTGCCTTGGAATTCACACATTAGCAGGACAAAAGATCCAAGGCTCAAGTTTTAAAATTCTTTTGCTAAGAAAAGACATACACACAGTGATTGTAATAGTTGCATACCACTGAAAGAAGGTAGTGGTGGGGGAAGGGCATGAGAATGGTTGAAATTTTGTGTTTTTAAATTAAAATATGACAACTAAAAAATATCACACCAATCATATTTCAGCAGCACTCTCGAATTTTTCATGAAGTAGTAAGAACACCACAACCAAGAGAAATTCTGGCCTATTTCACAATTTAGCAGTTTCATCGCTGGGAATGAGTCCCACAGTCGCCAAATGTGGGACTCTTGGGGGTGACACTGTGAACATGTCAAGAATCCCCAAAAGCGGACATTTTCTACACTGACAAACACCTTGTAGAGCTAAGAAGTCCCATGCCGAGCCAAGTTGGGGGCAAAATACCCCACATGTCCTGGTCGTCTGGAAAGGCATCTGAATGGTGAGCAAAGGGACCTATCACTCAGACTGATACAAATGAGAGGGACCAGCCCAGCAGATGGGCAGGGACACACAGCAGAGGTCCCTGGTATTTTCAGGTCTCTTATTTATGTACCAAAATGCTAGCTCGGTGTTCCGATGTCCACTGTGATTTTAGTATACAATGGGTATCTCTGTATGTCCAACACCTGGTAGGTGAGTGAGTTCAAACCATCAGAGAGCATTGTCTCCTTTGTGTGTGCAATTCGGTCAAACCTAAAAGGAAAAAAAGGGCAAAGGGACAGTGTCAAAATAAAAATCTTAAGAAGTCATTACATTTACTTCCTCACTCCCACTCCCCCACCCTGACTGGCTCTATGTCCCTTGAGGCACAGAGCCCTCTCTAGAACCCTCCATCCTGACATCTACCCCATTGTAAAGGGGGAGAAGTGATGCAGGGGTATGGGGTGGGGGTGTCTCTCCATGGGTTCTTTGCCTTCACCCCAGAAAATAATTTCAGAGTGACTCCCAAGTATGGTTTCAGACAAAATTTATTAGAAAGAAAGAGACATGCTCAAAGAGTATGGATGCCTTAAGAGAAAGGACATGAGCTTGGCTTTGACAATGGTGATTAAGCAAACCATGAGCTAAGAGGGGTGAACTGCAGGTATGTGGTTATTACCTTCTCTCTATCTTCTGTGAGTTTAAGAGGGGTGGGTCGCAAGTTTTTTTTGTTTTTGTTTTATTGAGTTGGAGTCTCACTCTGTTGCCTGGACCAGAGTGCAGTGGCAACACTCATAGCCACTGCAGTGTTAACTTGCTAGGCTCAGGTGATCCTCTGCCTTAGCCTTCCAAGTAGCTGGAACTACAGGCACGTGTCACCACACCTGGCTTTTTTTTTTTTTTTTTTATTGTAGAAACGAGGTCTTGCGATGTTGGTTAGGCTGGTCATGAACCCTGGGCTTAGGCAACCCTCTCACCTCTGCCTCCCCAAGTGCTGGGATTACGGGCATGAGTCATTGTGCCCAGTGGGTCACATTGATACCATCTCTCAACCCTCTAAGCTCACAAGAACCTCACTCTGTCACCCAGGCTGGAGTGCAGTGGCTTGCTCACAGCCATCACAACCTCAACCTGCAGGGCTCAGATGATTGTTTCATCTCAGCCTTCCAAGTGGCTGGAACTACAGGCGTGAGCCACTATGCCCAGCTAATTTTTTTTTTATTATTATTTATTGTAGAGACAAAGTCTTGCCATGTTGCCCAGGCTGGTCTCGAACCCGTGGGCTCAGGCAATCCTCTCATCTTGGCCTCCCAAAGTGCTGGGATTACAGGTATGAGCCAACACGCCTAGCTAGAACCTTCTAAATAAATAAAGTTATGCCTAACTGGATTTGGGCATTTCTTAGAACATCGTGTCTACGTGTTATATAATTCCCTATTGTTTCAGTAATTTACTGTACTGGTAGATCCATATTCCAGCCTACAAAGTGGTCAGGCCCAGTGTGCCTAGCTGGTCAGGTGAAGGCTGTGTACCCATCAGAAAGATGTCAAAATGCTTATCCTATTTTAATTTTTTTTTTTTTTTTGAGTTGGATTCTCACTCTCACCCAGGCTGGAGTACAGTGGCATGCTCACAGCCACTGCAGCCTCAACCTGCAGGGCTCAGGCGATTCTTCTGCCTCAGCCTTCCAAGTAGCTGGAACTACAAGCACGTGCTACCACGCCCGGCTAATATTTGATTTACTGTAGAGATGAAGTCTTGCCAAGTTGCCTGGGCTGGTGGGCTTAACCTTGTCCTACTAAACCTTGTCCTCCCAAAGTGCTGGGATTACAGGCTGAGCCACCGAGTCCAGCCTATCCTATTTTAATTTAGACCTGGCTACATGAAACTTATCTATGTCTAACCTGCAATGAATAACCTGTCTCAGAAGGAATAAGAATAAACAGAGAACACACCTCTGAGGATTGGGTTCATTTTTCTTGTCTCTTGAGTGGCGGATCATGCGACACTTCCCAACCATAGCATTTGGGCGAGATATAGACATGCCTCTAAAAACTAATCTGTAACGAGTAAAGCGGAAAGTCATTATCACAGCGCTGCCATAAAGCTTGGGTCCAACAGCTCCGTTTGCGAGCCTGTTGCCGCATCTACCACCCTGCTCTCACTCAACTCACCCATCCCTGCACAACATAGGTTAAAACTCACACTCCTAGTCCATGTCCTTTTATGGCTGGTTCTGCAGTTGTGGTGCTGACCATCATATGCCAGGCACTAGCGGTGTCTGCTCTCACAGCACGTACAGTGTAGATGCTCAGAACATAAAGTTTTTGGGGCCAGGATGGAGGTGAGAAGAAGAAGACAGGGTTGGGGGCACAGAGAAAGATGCAACTAAATCTGCTGGAGTGAGACTGAAGAGCCAAGTGGAGGTGAGCAAGTGTCTGCCAGAGAATTTCGGGCAGCCAAGACAGCACAGGCAAGGCATGGAGGTGACAGCAAGCTTCTGGGGACTGGTGACAAAGGTCTGGGGTCGGAAGTGGCAGATGACGAGGCTGAAAACAAGAGCAGGGCTAAATCATGGAGGCTTTCTCAGAGGATCCCAGCAAACGGCACCAGTGTGGAAAGGGATGCAATATACATTAGCTCCCAGAAGTTTGTAGCCGTGGGGAAGTCTCTCAGGAAAGTAGTATAAGGATGGAGGGCAGAGAAAAGACTAGAGGCAGTTAGAAAGGGTGGAAGTCCAAGAAAAAAGAAAGAGGACCAAAATTAAAGCCTTGACAGTAGGCATACCGTAGTTAAGAGGTAGGAGTGGCTGATCTTGGCCGACCTAAAGGATCCTGGCCTTGCCTTCCCCAATGCTGATCCTAGTGCCTGGTGTACAGTAAGCAGGTGCAGCATAAAAGTTAGGTATCCTATTTTCTTTTTTTTTGAGTTGGAGTCTCACTCTGTCACTCAGGTTGGAGTGCAGTGGCATGCTCACGCCCTCTGCCGCCTCAATCTGCTGGGATCAGGTGATCCTTTTGCCTCAGCCTTCCAAGTAGTTGGAACTACAGGTGTGCACCACCACATGCAGCTAATTTTTTTGGTTTTGTAGAGACAAGGTCTCACCATGTTGCTGAGGTTGGTCTTGAACCCGTGGGCTGAGGCAATCCTCTTGCCTCTGCCTCCCAAAGTGCTGGAGTTATAGACGTGAGCCACTGCACCCAGCCTTATGTTCTGATATTAAACTCAATGACTGGCTCTCAGAAGGAGAGGGTGCTTCTTATTGGTGGCTGGTGGGGTTATAAAGCCTCTATTGCCAGAGAACTGAGCAGAATGTGGTTTCAAATGCCATTGACAGAAGGTTTTTTATCACTTGTAATAACAACCTACAGGATGCAGGTTGCTTAAAAAGAGCTCCAGGATGTAGATGGTGCAGTATTGGCCATGGCATGATGGTTGTTGGGACTGGTCGAGTCCTCAGAGGTTTATTATACTATTCTATCCCCTTTTACGCATATTAAAAACACTCCAAAATATAAATATAACACAAAGCTTCTGGAAAGTTAGGATTCTGCCACACTGAAAGTGGACCACAATGAGATGCTAAATTTTTATAGATACTGAAGTCAAAGTAAACTCACCCCCTCGCTTGGTTCCCATTTTACATTTTCTGAGGCTAATCCACAAGTCTCAGAAGCTTATTTTCCTAAGGACCTTCTTCAGTACCTATAGGACCTACGGGGGGACACACCTGAGAATTCAGGCTGAGACTGCATCCCGCCTGAGGATCAGTTCTTGCAGAATAACCAGGCACTGACTCAAAACCTGGAAGTGAAGGTTGACAGAGGTGAAAGAGATTGAAGTTGTGACCATTACCTGTTAAAAATGTCATCATCTTCTCCTCCCCAGCCCCAGTAATTATTAGGAAATCCATTGATGGTGAGAAATTGTTGTTTACTTAGAGCAGAGACACCTCCGAAATACTGAACATAAGGTAGGCTGGGGGAAAAACATACACAGAGGACCAGTGGTTAGTTCCATTCTGACACCCCCAAAATAAAGCTTGCTAAAAATATAAACACCTGTAAAGTTATTCTTTACTATCTAGAACTTTTTGATTGGTAGGGCAGTTATGAAGGTTTTGTTTGAATTGCTTTTGTATCAGGGCTTGGATTATTTTAGAGAAGACACAGGTATCAAAAAGTATAATCTTTCTCTTTCCAAGAATACAGTACTGTTTCTTTGGTTATCTAGGAAACGAGTCAGCTGGGAGCAGTGGCTCAAGCCTGTAATCCCAGCACTTTGGAAGGCCAGGGTGAGAGGATTGCCTGAGCCCAGGGGTCCAAGACCAGTCTGGGCAACTTGATTGAGACCTTGTCTCTACAACATATCAAGAAAAATTAGCCAGGTGTGGTGAAGCACACCTGTAGCTGCAGCTACCTGAGCCCAGCAGGTCGAGGCTGTGGTGGCCGTGAGCATGCCACTGCATTCCAGCCTGGGTGAGAGTGAGACTCCAGCTCCAAAAAAAAAAAAAAGAAAAGAAATAAAATGAGTCAGCGACAAGAGTGGGCATAAGCCCAATCCTTGCAGAGTGGCTCAGGAATCAGCTTCCCATGTACCCTGCTCTTGCAAATGAAGTCCAAGAGGGCCTGGAATCTGAGACTGTTTTAGAGTCTCCCTGTGTCCACCCGCCATGGTCCCCCTTCCTACTCCAACCCTATCTACCAATCTAGCTTTCATTCTTCTAAAGTCATTCAGGCTTAAACACTGACCCTAACAGTAGAGCCAGCATTTTTGGAAATTTGCTAAAATAAAATTTTCATTGAAATTTCTACTTTGGCTGGGCGTGGTGGCTCATGCCTATAATCTCAGCATTTTGGGAGGCTGAGGTGAGAGGACTGCCTGAGCCCATGGGTTCGAGACCAGCTTGGGCAACTTGGTGAGACCTCATCTCTATGATAAATAAAAATGTTAGCCGGGTGTGGTGGTGCATGCCTATAGCCCCAGCTACTTGGAAGGCAGAGGTAGAAGGATCGTCTGACCCAGCAGGTCAAGGATGCAGTGGTGACCATGAGCAGCATGCCACTGCGCTCCAGCCTGGGCAACAGAGTGAGACACTGACTCAGAAAAAGAAAGGAAAAGAAAAAAAGATATTGCTACTTTATTCTGATTTAGCAAAATGCATAATGAACTTATTTTACATATTTCCAAGTAGTAGTAGGGCATCTGGTCTGTCACCCTTCCAAAATTCTTTGTATTTCAATATTTCAGTGGTTATGAATTGTAGCCTCCCAAAGGATATAGAATCAGCACCGACAAGAACTATCAAGAATCAGGACCTGCCCCAAAGGCCATGCAAAGGGCTGCCTGTGAGTTTTCTTTTTTTCTTTTTTCGAGTTGGAGTCTCACTCTGTTGCCCAGACTGGAGTGCAGTGGCCGCTCCCGGCCACCGCAGCCTCGACCTGCTGGGCTCCGGCGATCCTTCCGCCTCAGCCTTCCGAGTAGCCGGAATTTCAGGCACGCGCTACCACGCCCAGCTAATTTTTTGATTTATTGTAGAGATGAGGTCTCGCCTGCCCAGGCGGGTCTCGAACCCGCGGGCTCAGGCAACCCATTCACCTCAGCCTCCCAAAGGCATGGAATTACAGGCTGAGCCACCAAGCCCGGCGCCTGTGAGTTTTCTAAGGACTATGGTCAACCCCGAGTGCAGCTCGAAACCACACTCAGGCTCTTACTGAATCCAGAGACCAAAACTCATAACATAAATTAAGGAAAATTCTAACTCAGACTTTGAGGGGGAAGTCAGCTAAACCATATAGAACATATGAAAATACAGATACAATTCTTATTTTCAAATACATCAAGGGATTCTGACTGCAAGTATCTACAAGCAACGATCCCTGGGGGCCTGTTTTAATGAAACTATTTGTAATGAGGTGTCATCACTTAGGCACTGAGTCATCCACCTTTTGGCATACCTCATGCTACTGTCCATTTTTTTTTTTGAGTGGAAGTCTCACTCTGTTGCCCAGGCTGGAGCGCAGTGGCACGCTCCTGGCCACCGCAGCCTCCACCTGCTGGGCTCAGGTGACCTTTCTGCCTCAGCCTTCCAAGTAGCTGAACTACAGACACACACCACCATTCCCGGCTAATTTTTTTTTTTTTGTAATTGCAGAGAAGAGGTCTCACCAAGTTGCCCAAGCTGATCTCGAACCCCTGGGCTTTGGCAATCCTCTCAACTCAGCCTCCCAAAGTGCTGGGATTATAGGCGTGAGCCACTGCTCTCGGCCTAGTTTGTTGATTTATTGTAGAGAGAGGGTCTCGTCAAGGTGCCCAGGCTGATCTCAAACCCGTGGGCTCAGGCAATCCTCTTACCTCGGTCTCCCAAAGTGCTGGGATTATAGGCGTGAGCCACTGCATCTGGCCTGTCCAGACTTTTTTTTTTGAGTCGGAGTCTTACTCTGTTGCCCACGCTGGAGTGCAGTGGTACACTCATGCAGCCTTGACCTGCTGGGCTCAGGTAATCCTTCCGCCTCAGCCTTCCAAGTACTATATCCAGGTAACTTTTTGATTTATTGTAGAGACGAGGTCTCACCAAGTTGCCCTGTCTAGTCTCAAACCCCTAGCCTCAGGCAATCCTCTCTCCTTGGCCTCCCAAAGTGCTAGAGTTACAGGCTTGAGTCACGGCACCCAGCCCTGTCCACAATTTTAATGTGAGGGTTTGAACCAGAAGTGGCCAGGCCAATCAGGTTTTTACAGAAATAAATTCTTAGTCACTTCAAGGGGAAGTACACACCAAGTCAACAAGATTAGGTTTTGCTGTCTCTGCTGCTTTTTCTTTTCTTTTTTGAGTCGGAGTCTCACTTTGTTGCCCAGGCTGGAGTGCAGTGGCACACTCACGGCCACCACAGCCTTGACCTGCTGGGCTCCGGCGATCCTTCCGCCTCAGCCTTCCAAGTAGTTGGAACTACAGGCGAGTGCCACCACACCCAGCTTTTTTTTTTTTTTAATTATTGTAGAGAGGAGGTCTCACCAAATTGCCCAGACTGGTATCAAACCTTTGCACTCAGGCAATCCTCTCACCTCAGTTTGCCAAAGTGCTGGGATTACAGGTTTGTGCTACCGTGACCTGCCTTGCTGCTTTTTCTTATGGGTTTGCCCCATCCCCAAACCTGCCTGGCTCTCTGTGAAACAAACATGGTGCTGTGGCAAATAATTAGATAATAACTGACTGGGCCTCCTCCTGGCTTACTGCAATGCTTCAAGGGAGCAATTTAGGGGTCAGGGCATGAAACACACACATGAAGGGAGAGGGGGAGACAGAAGGCACAGAGCGATTTCTGGAGAGTCCAGTAGTTATGTTACATTCAAATTCTCCCCCTTTAAGACAGCAAGCTTAGGGCCTGAATACCTTTAATCTGGGAGAAGAACTTCATATAGTTCTAAATCTCCCTGTATTCATATCACGGCCCTCATTCTCCTAGCAAGGGAAGACAGGAAGAAATGATGAGAAAAAGAGGAACTAATTGCATCTAAGGCTGGGCATGGTGGCTCACGCCTATAATCCCAACAACTTTGGGAGACCAAAGAGGGAGGATTGCTTGAGGCTGGGAGTTCAAGACCAGCCTGGGCGACATAATAAAACCTCCATCTCTATATAAATTTTTTTTTTTTTTTTTTTTGAGTTGGAGTCTCACTCTGTCGCCCAGACTGGAGTGCAGTGGCTGCTCCCGGCCACCGCAGCCTCGACCTGCTGGGCTCTGGCTATCCTTCCGCCTCAGCCTTCCACGTAGCTGGAACTACAGGTGCGTGTTACCACACCTGGCTAATTTTTTTTTTTTTTTAATTTATTGTAGAGATGAGGTCTTGCCTGCCCAGGCAGATCTCAAACCTGCAGGCTCAGGCAATCCACTTACCTCAGCCTCCCAAAGGCGTGGGATTACAGGCTGAGCCACCGAGCCCGGCTTCTATATAAATTTTAAAAAATTTGCCAGCCATGGTGGCATGAGCCTGGAGTCTTAGCTACTTAGGAGGCTGAGGCAGGAAGATTGCTTGAGCCCAAAAGTTTGGTTACAGTGAGCTATGACTGCACCACTGCACTCCAGTCTGGGAGACGGAATGAGACCCTGTCTAAAAATAAAAATAAATAGACAAATGAATAAAAAAAATAAAATGCTCGTATCTAAACAAAGGGCCTGTTGTCTGTACAGGCAAACCACTCAGTAGCCCTCAGCCTAAACCAGGGCTACCTAACACACAGAACCTGCAGCACAAATTCCCAAAGCCTCAAATTTATATAAAGCAAAGACGTGAAAAGCTATGTTATTCACAGGATAGATAATTTAAAACAATTTCACGTTAATATAAACATGGATAAATTAGGCAACAAAATGCAAATTTATTTACTTATCTTTTTTTTTTTTTTTTTTTTACGTTGGAGTCTCACTCTGTTGCCCAGACTGGAGTGCAGTGGCACACTCCCGACCACCGCAGCCT